CCTCCTTTGCATTTTCAGTGGCCTGTTGATTTAAAATTATTAAACTGATCAGTAGATACCAATCCTCTTCCTTCACCCTCCCCACTAAGGAAACTATTTCATATTAAGTCCCTGCTTACCCCCACCCTTTCAATATAGTCAGATTCTAGGATCATTCTAGATGTATCACAAATGAAACTCTCCATGTCAAATTTCTTCATCGTTAGTCTGGCTTCATTTCTCACTGCACTGACAGTAAGCACTTGTTTTAGATTTTAAAGGGAACCTTAGAGGTTATTTGGTCTAATCACTTTCCTGCCATTTGGTAAAAACCCCCTACAAGCCAGTCATGATGTCTCACACTTATAATCTCAGCATTTAGGGAGGCCGAGGTGTAAGGATTGCTTGAGCCCAGGAGTTCAAGACAAGCCTGAGAAACACAGCAAGACCTTGTCTCTTAAAAACATATATATATTAATGATAATAATAATAAAATAAGCCGGGCTCGGTGGCTCAGCCTGTAATCCTGTGCTTTGGGAGGCTGAGGTGAGTGGATTGCCTGAGCCCGCAGGTTTGAGACCCGCCTGGGCAACTTGGCGTGACCTCATCTCTACAATAAATAAAAAATTAGTCGGGCGTGGTAGCGCGTGCCTATAGTTCCAGCTACTTGGAAGGCTGAGGCGGAAGGATCACCAGAGCCCAGCAGGTCAAGGCTGTGGCGGCCGGGAGCAGCCACTGCACTCCAGTCTGGGTGACAGAATGAGACTCCAACTCAAAAATAATAATAATAATAAAAAAATAAACCCCAAGAGTAATAATAATAATAATAGTAATAATAAAAAAATAAGCCCCCCAGAGCAGAAATCTCTTTGAGCACCCATGACACACACCACCCCCACAGGGTCTAACAAAGAACCCAGATACCACCAACCACCACTGCTTCAAACTTGCACCCCAAAGATTATGTCTTCTCATTGCCGACATAATCTTGGCATAATACTTTTTTCAACTTATTTTATTTCTTCCTCCCCAACACTCAGGAGGTGATGCTGTCCCTGCCCCGGCTTCTCCCCAAGTCCAAAGCTTACCTGTTTGTTGTGATGCATGATGCCCAAAGTGGGGAACACCCAGGTACTGGCTGGGGGCACTATGTCGCTATCAGCAAAGCTCACCCACTGCACCACCTGGGCCGCTGCCTCTGGAGTACTTCCACGCAACTCCTCATTGCTCACTGCAGAGGCACAACCCAAAGGTCAGAACTTTAGGGTGACGCCAACACTAACACAAGTGCCTGAGAATTCCTCCTTGTCCACTCCAGCTCATGCTTACCCCCTCCATCACCCCTCACACCTCCCTCCTGACTCTCCCATTCCCAACGTATCCCTGCAAATTACCATAGTAGGCAATGGCATTGCTCTCAAACACACAGAATCCATCGTCACCCTCAAATGCTGGAACCTGGAGACAAAGCAGTGAAAAGATAAAACACATATAATTTCTCTCCAGGCAATCCCAAGAACAGAATTGTTTTGGACAAAAATATTTATGTAAGGCTGAAACCCTCACTATCCAAATTCTTGATACTATTTGATGCTCATGAACCAAAAATCTTCAATAACTTGGTATCCCTTGTGATTTGAATTCACTAATACCTGAACTAGGAAACCGAAAGACTTGATTATGAGATATTTGTATAAAATCCCTCAATTAAATAAGCAGAAAATCAGAAACCAAATCTTATATCTATTATCTGTATAACTGGAAGTATCAGGGGGCAACCCACATAGCACTTGACTCCTCTACCCATCGCATGGTTATTTACCTATCTCTGCAAGGCCTTAGGGATAAGAATCCTGCCCATAATAAATACTTGATATATTTGCACTGAAAATACTTGGTCAAAACTCACTCTTTCCCACAAATATAGAGCACATGAATTTTATAGAAGCACTAAATACCTCAGTATTAGTTTTTACAACTACATGTGAACCTACAATTATCTCAAAATAAGCATTTTTTAAATTTTACTGAAACATTTAAGAAAATAATATGGGGGCAACCCCCTCGGACCTCCTCCCAAAGTGAGAGCTTCTCTTCCTCTTAATAAATCCTGCTTTCTCACACACAAGAAAAAAAAAGAAAGAAAGAATATGGGAACCTCCCTTTTAAAGATGGAGGTCAGACTGGGCTCGGTAGCTCAGCCTGTAATTCCAGCACTTTGGAAGGCCAAAGCGAGTGGACTGCCTGAGCCTGCGGGTTCAAGACCAGCCCAGGCAACTTGGCGAGACCTTGTCTCTACAATAAATCAAAAACTAGCTGGGTGTGGTGGCGCGCGCCTGAAGTTCCAGCTACTTGGAAGGCTGAGGCAGAAGGATCGCCTGAGCCCAATAAGTCGAGGCTGTAGTGGCTGTGAGGGTGCCACTGCACTCCAGCCTGGGCAACATCTGACTCAAAAAACCAATAAATAAAGAAAAGAAAGGAAGACAGAGAGATAGATGGAGGCCAACTCCAGAGTGATGAGCTCTTGGGGCTCCTTGAATTCTCAGAACTAAAGGCCCCTCTCCACTTCCCAACTCACCTTGCCGGCAGGAAATTTACGGAGAAATTCAGGGGTGCGGTTCGTTTGGCCAAAGTGGAAGTGGGGTGGCGCGGAGAGCACGCGGATCTGAGCCCCGCTGTACTGAGCAGCAATGAGGGCCTTGAAGGCCCTCCAGTTTTCAGGATATGTGTACAGGGTCTATACAAGAGAGATGGGGGAAAATTAATGCGAGTAGAAGTGTCCCAGTCCTACATACCACCCCCCAGGTTGACTTTCCTGAGTAATCCCATTCTACGCAACTCACTCTTTTACTATCCCTGGTGAACCAAGTCCTTCAGTAACTGTTAGATGTAATCAGAGTCCTCTGAAATATCAAGAACAGAACTACATACCGACTGCTAAATAAAGCTTGTTGACAGATTTGACCTTCCCTGAGGACATCTCTAGAAGAATTCTCTGCCCCTCAAATATCTCTCCAAGAAACCCAGAACTTCTAGCTCCATCCGACTCCATCTGCCTACAAACACACCCCTCCCTTTCCCGGGGAGCCCCGGCTTCATTCATTGATGGTTGCCTGCCTACTCTACTGCTGAGCTGCTTCCGCTTCAAAAGAAATCACCCTAAGCACACACAACGACCAAAAGATGTCCAAATTCCCTTTGGAACAGTCACACAATACAGAATGGCATACTGTTTACCTAAACCAACTCCTCTCCCTAAAAAGCCTGTCTCTCCTCGTCGCGCACACTGTCCCTCCGGTCCTGTCCCGCCGCAACGAGTTCCCTGGCATTGCCTTCTCTGTTAACTGACTAGCAGCGGACTCCAACGGACTGACTTCACTGTCTGGAAAGCCCTCTCGCTCTCAAATCTCCCCGAGAGACGACCCTTAGCCGTGCCAACCGTACCTGCCCACAAAGACCCTCCTCTTCATCCTGTCCTCGCTCCTGCCCCAACAAAACGGTCGCAGAAGTTCCGTCAGCTCGCCCAGATCCCGTCTCAAAGAAGCAATGAAACTGGGTCCCTTTTTAAGGCTTCGGACGACCCGGACCTGCTATCTCCTTTTCTCCTCTATCCTAGACCATTCCACCTCTGGTCGCAGAGAGCCCCAACCTCAGTTCCCCTCCAGGCCCTAGAAACCCTGCTCTCCAACAGTACGGCCTGTAGACCCTGGATCAGTTCCCCACCCGGCTCCAGAACTCCTCTGGCGCCGACTGGTCCAACTCAGGCAAAGGATGGCGGTGGATAGGGTGACCCGGACGATCAGAGCCGGCAAACTTACCCCAGCCGCCATGGTGATTCCGCAGAGAAAGGGGGTGGGGCTCTCGACGCTGCCGCAAAGTATGCCGCACGGGAGAGAAGGGAGGGAGGAAGAGGAGAGCCGTGGAGAAACAGCAGCCGGAAAGCGAGGACGACATAGAAGACATACGCACGACAGTTCGGTATCCAGTGGCGCTGAATCGGAAAAAGGGGGTGGGGCCTGCTGGCCGGCGCGGAAACAGCTCGCGCCGACGCAGTGGGGCTCTTGGAGGGTCCCGCCCCTCAGACACGGGAGGCCAATCAGCACTCCGACGTGGAGGTGGAAGTACGGAGGGAGGGGAGACGATGAGAAGCGGTTGGAAAAGTCGCCTCTCCGGGCTACGTGGCACAGCGGCCAGCCTCGCGTGGCGCAGGCATCCAGAGGCGTGCCCCCCGCGCCCGCTCTAACGACTTGATGGTAGGTTGTGCCAAGCCCCACATGACTGTGTGAAACTCAACGGGAGCGAGAACAACTGCTGTGTGGAGGTGGCAGTTCAAGTTCTTTTGTTCCTGCCCTGGTTTTCTTCTAGAGAAGGATGTGTATCTAGCAGGAGCCCAAGTCTGAACCCCTCTGCACAACTGAGATTTGCTAACATTACACCTTGCGACTCCAGGATGCTGTTACTGCAAGACTGGCCCGAAAAACGGAAGGGGCATAAAGGACACAGCCTGTTCCATCCACCTCCTCTGGAGGCAGGACTTGCCCCTGTGGCGGGAATGGGCCTGGGCTGACAACCTAAGAATTAACAACCTTAGTTCTGTGTTGGCGGTTTTCTTTACCCATCTCCAGGTTTGAAAAATCTCTTACCCAAATTTAATAACTGGAGGAAGCCAGACACGGTGGCACATACCTATAATCCCAGCACTTTGAGAGACCGAGGCGAGAGGATTGCATGAGCCCAGGGGTTCGAGACCAACCTGGGCAACTTGGAAAGCCCATGTCTCTACAATAAATCAAAAAATTAGCAGGACATGGTGGCCCACGCCTGTAATCCCAGCTACTTGGAAGACTGAGGCAGGATGACCTGAGCCCAGCAGATTGAGGCTATGGTGGCCATGAGCATCCCACTGCACTCCAGCCTCGGCAACAGAGTGAGACTCCAACTCAAAAAAAGAAAAACTGCATTAATATCTGGGGGAGGGGAAGGTGGATTATTAGCCGGTGGAAATTAGAGAAAACTGGAGAGTATATATAGTAAACCAGCAGTTTTATTGCCCTTTAGGTTCCATGTCTTCACTTGAGGAGATTTTGAAGTGCTTGAGGGAGGAAAACCTTTAAGAAACGATGGAGATCAGGGAACAGGCCTTGGGAATCGTGTAGCGGGGTCACAGTAAGCGTCTGGTCAGCCTGGGAGACCGATGCCACAAAGGTCAGGAGGGGCTCAGTTTCTGGCCTCTGTTCACTACCACTCAGTCCTCTCAGCTCCTGGGTTACCAGAGCCTCCGTTGCCAGCCACTCTGCTCCTGTGCCAGCACCGACTCTGCCTCCTTCCTTGGTTTGCTGCTGCAAGCGTCTCCGAACACGCCGCCGTCCCTGCCACACTCGGTGCCACAAGGCACAGCTCCAGCTCACTGAGAGTGATGTCCCCTTCCCTGCCTCCCCCCCTGATCCTCCTCTGACTGCCTCAGGTCCCTTGGGCCCCTGCTCTGCCAGGGTTGCATGGTCTGGCTGCCCCTCTTCTTCAGTGATTACATGTTTTCCGGTCATCAGGGGCGGCACCGCGGGCTGCTCAGAGCTCTGCACGGTCCATTCCTGCACCATCTCACCAACCTCTGCAACCATCTCTTCTACCCCGTCTTCACTGTGGTCCCCTGCACATCCCTGCTGCTCCTCTTGCCCCTCCTCACAGCTCTCTTTCTCTCCTAGTTTCAATCTTTTGTTTGTCCCTCCCTGGGGAGACTCCTCAGTTCCATCACCTTCTGGACACGATCTCTTGGTTCCCTGTTCTATATGGCACCCTAGTGCTTCCCTGAACATCTGGACCAGGGCAGCAGTGAGTTGCATAAAGGGAGCAGGAAGTAAGGGAATCGGCGTAACAGACTGCAGAGAGCGGTGGAAGCTGGACTGCAGAAGGGGGAGCAGCCCCCAGTCCCGACCCCGGGAGGAACGGCGCTGGTACTGGAGGCTTCGGCAGTAATTGGCTGCTATTCGGCAGCAGTTCTGTAGGCGTCCAGCCACCCGGCTGGTCACATTGGCTGCAACGTTGTGACTCAGGTCAAAGGGGTCCTGGAGATTCATTGGGCCAAGACGCAGACCCTCCCAGAGATTAGAGGGCAAGCCTCCTGCCACAGACAGTGCCTGACCCTCCCGCAGGGAGAGCAGTGAGCCATGAAGATCCCAGCAAGAGACGCAGGAGAAGAACTGGGCTAGTAGGGAACCTGGAGAAGGAGGAAGATTGGGGAAAGGGGATCACTTAGAAGCCAGAACTGAGACTGAGACACATCCTGCACCAGAGCCATTTCCTTAGCAGGACTTCCTTTTCCCTTCCAATGGGTTCAGGAGAGTCCCAAGAAGCCAGGCTGCTTTAGTCAACAAGAGGTCAAGCCTCTTTCCTCATACCCCCAGCAATGTTGTTATTCAGATGCTGCTGCCCTTGCTAGCATTGTAACCTTGAGCGAGCCACTCAAATGCTCCAAAGCATGGCTTCTTCATCTGTAAAATGTCAGTAACAGTATTAGCTATTCCACAGGGTTGCTGTGAGAACCATGCCTGGCACTCAGTGTGTGTGAGGTACTAGTCCTTCACCAGGCTCCCCAGACTCACTGAGGGGCTCCACATTGGTGCTAGGCTCCAGTCTTGAGGCATCCCTGGGGAAACTACAGTCCCAGCCATCAACTTCCACCTGTTCTTCCTCACCTGTCAAAGTATAAAAGGAAAGCATCAGCCTAGAAACAGGAAAATGGGGGAAAGAAGGTGGGGGGTAGTATGTCTAAGTGTGATGAAGAGGAGGAGAGGTGAAGCTAATGAGATAGAGAGGATGGAGGTTGGGCTACAGTACCTGCTTTCTGGGTGAGCTGGGACACAGTGGGCAACACAGGAGGGTCCCTGGTCTGAAGAAAATAGATCACGAGCAAGGTCAGGGTGTAGTTATTGAGAAGGGGGCCACTCCCTGGGTAAATAACAAATAATTCCTATTAGATCAGAGATGCTTCTGATCCTTCGTTGACAGTCTTCTCAGCTCCAGTACCCATACCTACCTCCTTTCTCACCCTCCCTGAAATCCCTGCCTTTGTCCTGATACCAACTCAGCCCCAAGTCTCTCTGATTCATTCTCACCTGACAGCCCCCAAAACTGAGCCCAGCAGCGGAGGGTGTAAACAAGGGGCCGGACTCGCCCATCCAGCTCAGAGCAGAGACTCAGGAAACGGGAGTTATGCAGGGCCAGCCTGGGATAAAGGAGGAACAAGGATATTAGAGCTTGGGGACTTCAAAAGCCTCACCTCTCATTCCAGACTTGCGTCACTGAGGCCAGATGGAATAAGGCCAAAAGAGGGTTTCCCAAAGTGTTCCTGAAACACTGGTCTTTCAAGAAGGTATGCAAAAGAATGTCAAATGAGTTTGGGCAACACTACATCCCATATGCCCAGCTTGGACATTCAGAGCGTGTTAGTTTAAGACTGCTCAGATCCTTAACTATGCAAAGAAACAGACAGGAAGGGGGGGGAAGAAGGGATTAAAGGAGAAAGGGAAAGTAGAAGTGGGAGGACAGAGGGACAAAGGTGTTTGAACTTAACTTCGAATTTCCCACAGAAAATTTATTCAATCACAGAACACCTCTGCATCTTTTAAAAATATTATTTCAAAAAAAAAAAAAAAAAAAAAAAAAAAAATAAAAATAAAAATATTATTTCAGGACAACCCCTTCGGGTCCCCTCCCACTATGGGAGCTTTTTCTGTCCTCTCAATAAATCCTGCTTTCAAAAAAAAAATTAGTGAGCTGTAGTGGAATGCATCTGCAGTCCTAGCTACTAAAAAGGATCTCGTGAGCCCAGGAGTTCAGGTTACAACGAGCTATATGATCTTGCCACAGCATCACACCAACCTAGGCAATAGAGCAAACCCTGTCTTTTTTTTTTTGAGTTGGAGTCTCACCCTGTCACCCAGGCTGGAGTGCAGTGCCACACTCACAATCACCACAGCCTCGACCTGCTGGGCTCAGGCTTGAACCATTACATCCAGCCTAAGACCTATCTCTCAAAAAAAACCAAAAATGGTTGGGCGCAGTGGCTCACAGCTATAATCCCAGCACTTTAGGAGGCCAAGGTGAGAGAATTGTCTGAGCCCACAGGTTCCAGACCAGCCTGGGCAACTTGGAGACCTCATCACTACAATAAATCAAAAAATTAACGGGGCATGGTGGCACGTGCCTGTAGTTCTGGCTACTTGGAAGGCTGACGCACAAGAACCACCTTAGCCCAGCAGGTTGAGGCTGCGGTGGGCGTGAATGTGCCACTGCACTCCAGCCTGGGCAACAGAGTGAGACTCCAATTAAAAAAAAAAAGTATCCCAAGGAACACACTTTATAAACACTGAAATTAGAAGTCAAACAGAAGGAAATAAATGACAGAAAGAGGGATGGGACCAAACAAGGACGAACCTGAGAGTCAGCAGATATAGGGGCTTCCCAAACCAGGACAGTCTCCTCACCCACCCCAGAATTCTTAGCTGGCTTTCCCCAACCCCCCCCCCAAAGGTACCGGTTACTGAGGGAGACGTCGCCATGGAGACCTGAAGGCCAATGACAGAACTTGACCACAGGGCGCCGGGCAGAGGGCACAGTTTGGACTCGGTATACCCCAGGGGCACAGCCCCGGAGAATGGCTCCCACCAGCTCCAGCATTGCTCCCTCCTCTGCTTTTTCCCCCTTCAGGGCTTCTGCTAGTTCCAGGGCCTTCCCCAGGTCCCTCTCCCTCTTGTCCTCCGGCAGCGATGAGGCTGGCTGTGGAGACTGTGGAGAAGCGAGGGACTCAGAAGCCAACGCGGAGTCTGCAGTCCAGGATGCCAGGGAGGAGGAAGGGTTTTCAAAGTTCAGGGCTTCAGAATCTTGGGGAGAAGCTGGAGGCTGCGAATCTGGAGGGGACACTGGGGTGCAGGCCAGGGCTTGAGAATCCAATGGGGAAGCAAGGACCGAGTCCAAGGATGGAGATTCAAGAGGCTTTGGGGCTGGCTGTGAATGGAAAGGAGTTGAGTGAATGCATCTCCTGCTGGCCCCTACCCAGGGAGCATCCTCGTCCCCAAGATAATATATATTACTTAGAGCTTACTAGGTGCCAGGCCTTACTCTAAGAGCTTTATATGTATTGACTCATTTAATCCTCACAGAAACCTTCATTAAAAATTAAAGTGAAGCTGGGGTCGGTGGCTCAGCCTGTAATCCTGCGCCTTTGAAAGGCTGAGGTGAGTGGATTGTTGAGCCCGCAGGTTCGAGACCCGCCTGGACAGCTTGGCGAGACCTCATCTCTACAATAAATCAAAATGAGCCGGGAATGGTAGCGCGCGCCTGTAGTTCCAGCTACTTGGAAGGCTGAAGCAGAAGAATCGCTGGAGCCCAGCAGGCCGAGGCTGCGGTGGCCGGGAGCAGCCACTGCACTCTAGTCTGGGCAACAGAGTGAGACTCCAACTAAAAAAAAAAAAAATTAAAGTGAGCTGGGCTCAGTAGCTCAGCTTGTAATCTCGCACCTTTAGGAGGCTTGAGGTGAGTGGACTGCCTGAGCCCGTGGGTTCAAGACCCGCCTGGACAACTTGGCGAGTCCTCATCTCTACAATAAATCAAAATGAGCTGGGCATGGTAGCACACGCCTATAGCTCCAGCTACTTAGAAGGCTGAGGCGCAAGGATTGCCGGAGCCCAGCAGGTCGAGGCTGCGGTGGCCAGAAGCGGCCACTGCACTCTAGTCTGGGCAACAGAGTGAGACACCAACTCAAAAAAAAAAAAAAAAAAATTAAAGTGGCCAGGCATGGTGGCTCAAGCTTGTAATCCCAGCACTTTGTGAGGCTGAGAAGACTGTCTGAGCTCAGGGGTTCTGGACCAGCTAGGGAAACTTGGCGAGACCTCATCTCTACAAGAAAAGTAAAAAATTGCCGGGCTCGGTGGCTCAGCCTGTAATCCCGCACTTTGGGAGGCTGAGGTGAATGGATTGCCTGGCCCTGCAGGTTCGAGACCCGCCTGGGCAACTTGGCAAGACCTTATCTCTACAATAAATTAAAAAATCAGCCAGGCATGGTAGCGCGTGCCTGTAATTCCGGCTACTCCGAAGGCTGAGGCGGAAAGATCACCGGAGCCCAGCAGGTCGAGGCTGCGGTGGCCGGGAATGGCCACTGCACTTCAGTCTGGGCGACAGAGTGAGACTCCAACTCAAAAAATAAATAAATAAAAATTAGCCAGGCGTGGTGCCAAGTGCCTGTAGTTCCAACTACTTGGGAGGCTGAGGAGGAAGAATCTCCTGAGCCCAGGAGATGGAGGCTGCAGTGGCCGTGAGTGTGCCCCTGCACTCCAGCCTGGACAACAGATTGAGACTGCAACAAAAAAAAAAAAAAGTAAGGCCAGGTGCCTGTAATCCCAGTACTTTGGGAAACAGAGGTGAGAGGACAGCCCTAGTCCATAGATTGAGAACAGGCTGGGCAACATGGCAAGACCTCGTCACTAATATAAAATTTAAAAATTAGCCAAGTGAGCCAGGCTCGGTGGCTCACCCTGTAATCCTGCGCTTTGGGAGGCTGAGGTGAGTGGATTGCCTGAGCCTGCGGGATCGAGACCCACCTGGGCAACTTGGCGTGACCTCATCTCTACATAAATAAAAAAATCAGCCGGGCGTGGTAGCGCATGCCTGTAATTCCAGCTATTCAGAAAGCTGAGGCGGAAGGATCGCCAGAGCCCAGCAGGTCGCTCCCGGCCACTGCACTCCAGTCTGGGCAACAGAGTGAAACTCCAACTAAAAAAAAAAAAAATTAGCCAAGTGTAGTAGTATGCGCCTGTAGTTTCAGCTACTTGGAAGGCTGAGGCGGAAGGATCTCCAGAGCCCCGCAGTTCAACACTGGGGTGGCCATGAGCGTGCCACTGCACTCTAGCCTGAGTGATGGAGTGAGACTCCAAATTAAAAAAAATAAAAATAAAGAATTCCTTGTGTCAGTACACATATGGAAAATTAATCTTTCTGCACATCTAACACTGCACTAAAAAACAAAGTCTAGGCCAGGCACAGTGTCATGTCTATAATCCCAGCACTTTGGGAGGCCGAGGTGAAAGGACTGGCTGATCCCACAGGTTCAAGACCAGCCTGGGCAACTTGGCAAGACCTCATCTCTACAATAAATCAGAAAAATTAGCTGGGCGTGGTGGTACATGTCTATAATTCCAGCTACTTGGAATGCTGAGGCGGAAGGATCGCCTAAGCCCAGCAGATTGAGGCTGCGGTGGCTGTGAATGTGCCACTGCACTCCAGCCTTTACATAAAGAATAAAGTCTATTTAAAAAATAGGCCAGGCATACTAGCTCACATCTGTAATCCCAGCACTTTGGGAGGCCAGTATGGAAGGACTGCTTGATCCCAGGAGTTCAAATACCCTAGACAACATAGCAAGACCTCATCGTCATAAAAACAATAAAAAGGGCCGGATGTGGTGGCTCACACCTATGATTCCAGCACTTTGGGAGACCGAGGTGAGAGGGTTGTCTGAACCCATGGGTTAGAGACCAGCCTGGGCAACTTGGCGAGATCTCATCTTAAAAATAAATAAATAAATTGAATGAGTGAATGAATGAATGAATAAGCCAGGCATGGTGGCACGTGCCTGTAGTTCCAGTTACTTGGAAGGCTGAGGCAGAAGGATCGCCTGAGCCCAGCAGGTCAAGGCAGTAGTGGCTGAGAGTGTGCCACTGCCCTCCAGCCTGGGTGACAGAGAGAGACTCCAACTCAAAAATAATAATAATAATAAAATAAATAAAGTTAAAATTTAAAAATAATAATAATGCCCCTTCCTTATTCTAAAAACAGAATCTGTACATTGGATGTTAGAAAATATAGGTAAGAAGGTCGGGTGCAGTGGCTCATGCCTATAATCCCAGAACTCTGGGAGGCCAAGGTGAGAGGACTGCCTGAGCAACTTGGTGAGACCTCATCTCTACAATTCAAAAAAAAAAAGCCGGGCTCGGTGGCTCAGCCTGTAATCCCGCACTTTGGGAGGCTGAAATCAGTGGATTGTCTGAGCCCACGGGTTTGAGACCCGCCTGGGCAACTTGGCAAGACCTCATCTCTACAATAAAAAAAAAGATCAGCTGGGCATGGTAGCGCATGCCTGTAATTCCGGCTACTCGGAAGGCTGAGGTGGAAGGATCACTGGAACCCAGCGGGTTGAGGTTGCAGTGGCCGGGAGCGGTCACTGCACTCCAGTCTGGGCGACAGAGTGAGACTCCAACTCAAAAAAAAAAAAAATTAGCCATGTGTCGTGGCACATGCCTGTGGTTCCAGCAACTTGGAAGGCTGAGGCCAAAGGATTGCCGGAGCCCAGCAGGTTGAGGCTGCGGTGGCCATGAGTGTGCCACTGCATTCCAGTCTGGTCAACAGAGTGAGAATCCGACTCCAAAAAAAAAAAAAAAAAAGAAGCTGGGCTCAGGAGTTCAGCCTGTAATCCCAGCACTTTGGGAGGCTGAGGTGAGTGGATTGTCTGAGCCCGCAGGTTCAAGACCCACCTGGGCAACTTGGCGAGACCTCATCTCTACAATAAATAAAAAATTAGCCGAGCGTGGGAGCGCACGCCTGTAGTTTCCGCTACTTGGAAGGCTGAGGCGGAAGGATCGCCGGAGCCCAGCAGGTCGAGGCTGTGGTGGCCAGGAGCAGCCACTGCACTCCAGTCTGGGTGACAGAGTGAGACTCCAACTCAAAAAACAATAAAACAAAAAACTCCTTGTGACAGTACACATATGGAAATTAATCTTTCTGCTCAGTTTTGCTGTGCATCTAACACTGCACTAAAAAATAAAGTCTAGGCCAGGTGCAGTGACTCATGTCTATAATCCCAGCACTTTCAGGAGGCTGAGGTGAGAGGATTGCCTAAGCCCACAAGTTCGAGACCAGCCTGGGCAAGTTGGTGAGACCTCATCTCTACAATAAATCACACACAAAAAAAATCCTAGCCGGCCATGGTGACGGGCATCAATAGTTCCAGCTACTTGGAAGGCTGAGGTGAAAGGATCACCTGAGCCCAGCAGGTCGCGGCTGCAGTGGCCATAAGCATGCTGCTGCACTCCAGCCTAGGCGACAAAGAGTGAGACTCCAACTCAAAAAAAAGAAAAACATAACCCTAAAATTACCTTATATCTTTTCATATATTTTTCCCAAATTAAGTCACATTTACACACCATTCTGAAATTTGTTATGATTGCCATCTATCTCATGTTAATTCATTTTCATCCCATGTAATACACATGGCATATTCCCATTTCTCCAATTACAATAACCCTTTCAGGCAGGTCCTATATATCCCATTTTACAGATGAGGAACTAAGGCATAGAGAGCTAAAGGACTTATCCACAGTCACATGACCATTCTCACTGACTTACCAACTGCCTCCCTGGTCACTCACCTGGGCCTCTTCCAAGTCACCCAGATCCAAGAAGAGGTCAAGGTCACAGCCATGGACATCAAAGCTGTTTATGGAAGAGCCAAAAGGATGGACCACACAGCCTGGGTGCCAAGCAGAGAATAAAGGTCAAGAGACATCAGGGAGGAGCAGGGGGTGGAAGAACATAATGGGGTACAAAGATGGAAGAGCAACCAAATAAACACCTCTAGGTCAGGGAGGATGAGGATGCAGAGACATGGGGGAATATAGGACAGAGAGGGCTCAGAAACAGTAGGAAAGGTGACTTACCAGGGAAGAATTCCATGAAGACTTCCTGCATCAGGGCCACCACGAGGTTCCGAAGCTGCCGCTCAGCCTCAGACAGCTCCCTCAGCCTAACAAGCTTGACCATTTGTGCCCCCACATCTGGGGCCTCAGCTAGTGCTTCGGCCACCTGGTGACCTTTGGGGGCTGCTCCTTTGGGGGATTTGGAGGCTGGGCTCTGGAACTTCTTCTGCTCCCGTGGCCGGACACGCAGGCGACGTCCTCCCAGGCTGTGCTGGGACTGTGACAAGACAGCATCTCGAGCAACCACGTCCCCCATCTCCACAATGGCAAACACTCCCTGGCAAACCACAACAGGGACAGGGATGATGGTTTGGGAATCAAGAATCCAAGCACATGATCAGACAATGGATGAGAATCCTTGAAATGGGAACGGTCTCATAAATTAGGACTATTTGCTTGCTGTTTTCATAACAATAAGGGACATATTCAGAAAAGCAATTCTCTCCCTCTTTGTTACTCTACACATTTTACTTGCATCCTAGTCTGCCTCTGAAAATCTCTTTTTACCTAATTTATTGTCCCCTACTCTTCCCAATGACATGATTTCACAGGTTATACTATGACCCACCTCCTAGCTTTTGCTGGTTTAAATAGACTCCACCCCAAGCTAAAAGATAACCTGGACTGCTAGGGATATTTGGGATCACCAAAGTCACAGCTACATAACCAGAGTGAAGCCTTAGAACCATAATATGACCAAAGAACACAGTACCACAACACTGAACTTTTTTCAAGGGACACTAATGAAAGGTGTGGAAGCAAGACAAAAAGGACTACATAGAATGAACTTTTTAGTCTAGCACTATCCAGAGGTAAGGATCAAATAACCTAAGTACCTCTCAGTGTAAGTTAATAAACTGTCAGCCAGCTTATCAACGAGGTTCTTGTAGGGTTTATCTTCCAATGGTGTGTTTTGTTTGTTTGTTTTAGAAAGCAGGACTTACTGAGAGGACAGAAAAGCCCCCACAGTGGGAGGGGACCCGAAGGGGTTGCCCTGGTATGTTGTTTTTGTTGTTGTTGTTGTTGTTTTGAGTTGGAGTATCACTCTGTGACCCAAGTTGGAGGGCAGAGGCACGCTCTCAGTGACCATAGCCTCGACCTGCTGGGCTCAGGCGATCCTTCCACCTCAGTCTTCCAAGTAGCTAGAACTACAGGCAAGTGCCACCATGCCTGATTACTTTTTTTTTTTGGTTTATGGTAGAGATGAGGTCTCGCCAAGTTGCCCAAGCTGGTCTCGAAGCCATGGGATCAGGCAATCCTTTCACCTCAGTCTCCCAAAGTGCTGGGATTATAGGCATAAGCCACCATGCCCAGCCAGTATGTTGTTCTTTAGGCAACAATTTTCACAATAGTCTTTTTTTTTTGAGCCAGAGTCTCCCTCTATCGCCCAGGCTGGAGTGCAGTGGCATGCTCACAGCCACCGAAGCCTCAACCTGCTGGGTTCAGGTGATCCTTCCACCTCAGCCTTCCAAGTAGCTAGAACTACAGACATGCGCCACCATGCTTGGCTAATTTTTTGATTTATGTTGAGACAAGGTCTCACCAAGTTACCCATGGGGTCTCGAACCCCTGGACTCAGGCAATTCTCTCGCCACCACCTCCCAAAGTACTGGGATTGTAGGCTTGAGTCACTGTGCCCAGTCAATTAGTTCCTTAATTATCTACTTTCAGCCAGGCTCGGTGGCTCAGCCTGTAATCCTGCGCCTTTGGGAGGCTGAGGTGAGTGGATTGCCTGAGCCCGTGGGTTTGAGACCCGCCTGGACAACTTGGCGAGACCTCATCTCTACAATAAATCAAAAATGAGCCGGGCGTGGTAGCGCGCACCTGTAGTTCCAGCTACTTGGAAGGCTGAGGCGAAAGGACCGCCGGAGCCCAGCAGGTCGAGGCTGCGGTGGCCGGGAGCGGCCACAGCACTCCAGTCTGGGCGACAGAGTGAGACTCCAACTCAAAAAAAAAAAAAAATTTGTCTACTTTCTCTTCTAAGCTGTAAGCTCTGTGCCAGCAGGAACCACATCTGTCCCATTCACTATCTAGAATGCAGCCCTAAGCATAGTGCCTTATATTATAAAAGTTAGCAGTAAATAAATATTTGGTGGGCCAGGCTTGGTAGCTTAGCCTGTAATCCCAGCATTTTGGGAGGCCAAGGCAAGAGGATTGCCTGAGCCCGCGGGTTCAAGACCTACCTGGGCAACTTGGCGAGACCTCGTCTCTACAATAAAACAAAAACCAGCCGGGCGTGGTAGCGCGCGCCTGTAGTTCCGGCTACTTGGAAGGCTGAGGCGGAAGGATTGCCAGAGCCCAGCAAATCAAGGCTGTGGCGGCCGGAAGAGGCCACTGCACTCCAGTCTGGGCAACAGAGTGAGACTCCAACTCAATAAATAAATAAATAAGTAAATATTTGGTGAATAAAGGAGTCACTGAATAAATAAATAGCAAGTCATCAAGTGACTAACTCCAGTGAACTAATAAAGTTCAAGGGGTAAGGAAGGTGTGAGGAGTTCACAAAGCAGGCTAGTTCAAGTACTATGGTGTCCATCAAGGACAAGCCTCCTTGGGAACCAACCCCAACAGGTTGCTACTTTCTCTCTCCTGTCTCTTTTGGCATATGGCACATTTGACTCATTCTTTACCCCCAGAATCATTCACTCTACCTTGTCCTTGTCCACGACAACACTGGCCACAGGTCCAAATGCCTGGAAGTACTCAGAGAGCTGAGCAGAATCCACATCTCTGGGAAAGCCACTGACAAACACACTTCGAAGTTCCTGGGCCCTTCTAGAAGCTCGTAGTTCTACCAAGTGCTGGTGCTTTCGGCCTCTCAAGTGGGCATCTAGGCTGGGCCCTGTAAAGACAAAAACATCCAAATCCTACTTCAGCGTACCTGCCTTTGTTCTCTGCATACCTAAATCCTACTGATTCCTTCAAGTCACAGAAAGTGTAACCTTTGAATAAACAAAGTGCTGGCTCTTTTCGCCTTCTCTCTTGTTCATTTGTCTATATAGTACATTCTCTAAGTGGTTCCCAGGAGAACTGGTTACAAGTATTTCCTAAATCATTCATACGTGCTAGGTAGGAAAGCATCTGCAGATTGTAAAGAAATTAACAGGTAACTTATCCAGGTCATCAAAATAAATCAGGACCCTGGACTATTCTTCATGGATCATTGCTGGGTATGGTATAGTGATTGCAAGTGCAGCATCTGAAATTATACTGCCCAGCTTCAAATCCTAACTCCACCAAGCAATGCGAGGCCTTGGCTAAGCTACTTAATCTCTGTGTATCAGTTTCCTCTGACATAAAATGGAAATAATATTACCTACCACATAGGCAATATTCACATAGTACTTGGCAGATTCTGGTACATGGTAAATGTGGAAAAACTAGCTGTTGCTATTATTTTAGTCAGTGGCTTGATATCACCAAAGTAAATGTGGGTCCAAGGAAAACGCCTGGGTTTCTGGCTTGACCTACTGGACAAATAGAGTCACTCACAGAGAAAAGGAAGAGTGAAAGAAGATTCTGTTTAGGGAAGATCATGTTTACAGACTTCAAAAGTAGAATTTGAGGTTTCATAGAGTCCCTTTTGCTGTCACATAAGGATCTTGTCTACTTTTCAAAAATTAGCTAGTACCTCTTCCCCACTGGTACCTTATGCTCCAATCATTCATGCCACCTCTTTCACCCATCCCGCCTTTGGGTAGGTTCTCTGCAGGGCTTCCCTCACTTAAGTGTTACAGCAAGTGCTGCAGCTTACCAGGAGCAGAAACAAATGGAGTGTTGCCACACTCAGTACAGGCGCTGGAGATCGGGTAGAGAATCGAAAGCGTTTATTCTGGAAGTCTCAGGCAGAATTATCTCCCAAAAACCTGAGTCACGATCCTCAGTTACAGGCTGCTTTTACATACATTCAGCAGGCCTTGAGAACATTTGAGTATAGCAGGCCTGGGGCCACATCATCAGCCCTGAGCTCTTGTCATTGGTGGTTTTATCATTTTATTTATTTATTTATTTTTTGAGTTGGAGTCTCACTCTGTCGCCCAGACTGGAG